TACCTATTTACTTTTTTTTTTTTTTTAAATCTTTATTTTTGAGAGAGAGAAAGACAGAGACAGAGTGCAAGTGGGGGAGGAACAGAGAGACAGGGAGACACAGAATCCAAAGCAGGCTCCAGGCTCTGAGCTGTCAGCACAGAGGCCCACACAGGGCTCAAACTCACGAACTACAAGTTCATGACCTGAGTGAGACAAAGTTTCATGCTTAACCAACTGAGCCACCCAGGCGCCTCCCAAGTTCCCTACCTATTGATAATAACTCCTAGAAGAACCTCTGCTATCTAAAATCCCCATTATTTGCCAAAAAATACCCACAAGTTAAATTTTAGACCAAGTTTATTCCGTTCAATTAAACTTCCTTCCATAATCCTTCACAAACTTACTCTTTGATTTTGAAAGAAGAGTGATATTGAAACATAGCTATACATTTGTAGTTCATATTAAAACTTTTTTTAAAACCATTTCAGAGAGTCAAATTCCCTCTGAATCATTACAAACCAGCACCTACTGTTTCTTTAGTATTCCTGCACATTTCTGACAGTTAGAAAGGCTGAAGTTCTTTATACAGTTGTCTGAGTATGTGATGTAAATGACCAAACATTGTTCTTCTTTTTTAAGTGACCTACTAGCAAGAAAAGGAATGAAATGAAAATGAACCGGTTTGAAAGACAGAAAAGCAAATGGGCATTCTTTATTTTAAAGCATCACAGTTCAGCAAATAGGCTAATGCTGTGAGGAGTGAAGAGTTCCCCGGGCAGTTTGTCTACTTATGTTTTTGTTTTTGCAGGAAGCATTTCTGCAACCTAAGTATCCTTGCTGTTTTCTGAAAATCCACATTGGCCTTTTCATTTAGAACTCTTCTCCAAATCCATCTCCTAAAGGAAGACTTCTCTAGCAAAACCGTGTTACTATCACCACTCTATCATTCTATATCCCATTAGCATTACTATATTTAGTTTGAAATGTATTCTTTTGTACGTGCTTTGGTGTAAGTTGTGAACTGACATATTACTGAAACCAAGCATATATATCATGACTAAAGGGCTGTCTACTGTGTGATTTCAAGCAAATTGCTTAACTTAAATGACTCTAACTTCCCCATCTACAATGCTGGAAAACCAGAATCTGTCTTCCAGTGGCTCGGGTAAGAATAAATGAGAATATATGTACATACTATTGAGAGAAGAGATAATAACTAACAGAAATCTAAATTACTCCTGGTTTAGAATCATAATATATTAAGTACTGATACAAATGTATTTCCTTTAAGCATTAATTGATTGGTGGGAGAAGGAGCAAAGTTCGACTCAAGAAAGAAGCCAATAAAAACTATTCCTCAAGATTATAATTTTATTCTGTATCCCACTATTCTCTCCATTTAGAGGACTATTCTGGGTCTGGGTCTACTGAAAAATCAGTAGGTCTCCTAATGTGAATCCTAAGATCACTCATGCAATGGGTTTGAAGTGAGCAATTTACATAAATATCTAAGCACAGCTCTTCCAAAAACTGCTATGCAGTCCACTTGCCCCCAGTGCTAATGATTAAGCAATCAATATATCAGCAGCAGTTAGTGACAGGATGTTCTAAACTCTGGCACTGAGATGTTCACTTTGAGGGGGAAAGGATGATTAAATATACTGCCAAATAAATTCACGGAGAACTTTTGTGAACTTCATACTTGACAGGCACATGTTAATCGGGAAAGAGTGCTTTTCACAAACTTCAAAACTGAATTAAACCCTGGAGAAGGGATATAGACATGCATTAAAAAGTACACTGCCTTAACTTTTATTCTTTTTTCCCGACTTTGAAAAGAAGAGTTTAGTACTCAGAAAATATGGATAAAGAAGGACATCAGCAATTTCACAGACTTCTTAGTCTGGTTCTTTTTGAAGGGAAACAATGAGAATGAAGCATGAGAAATGCCCTTAATGGAAGCAGAGAACATCTTTTCTCTTGCTAGAAATACCCCTATTTATTAATCAAATCAAAATTGGAACATGCCCAAATAAAGACTTCAGTGGCACTAACAGAGAAACAAAAATGTAAACGTTTAAAATTTTAGACCTGTCACACAATGGGCTCCTTTATTATCAGCACAATCTCTGGGAAATACCTCAGATATATTACTGTGGAAATAGCATGGTTACAGAACAATATTTTATGTGAATATAAGCTTGGTGACAATTCAAAAATGTTTTAAAAACTATGTCAGTTCTTAGGAAGTCTCACAGCTTTGAAAAATAATCCATTTTCAAACAAAGTGAAGAAACTTATTTTTCTTGTCAGTTGAATTTCTGAATGTGACCCTATTTAATAAAGAGGGATGTAACGATCATAGGTTTTCATCATGAATGAGTCAGATGAAGAATATAAAAACTTACTTTCACGCAGATTTCAGGTCCCTTGCTATGATAATGGAAAATTAGGAACCTTTAAAAATAATGTATTTTTTCTGCCAGTATATTTATCAATATAAAGTTATAATTATCTACCAACTCCCCTAGTTATGAAAATGATCTTTGCCCTGGAAAAAAATGATGGGAATAGTGTACAAACCTCAAAAGTTTTGATCGCTATTCAGTAAAACACACTTGGCATTTATTTCTGCTTATTATTCTTAAAAATGTAATTTGGGGAGAAAAATGTTAATTATTTTTTGGGAAGGGGCTGAAGAGATCCCAGTGAGACATTCTGTAGAAAGGTCTTTTGTTAGTATAACATCTGACCTTCTATATCTTTGGAAATCATGCAACTTGGCTAATGTAGTCCTTAAAGAATTAATCAAGCAGATTGTTAGGCCCTAGTTACAGTGGAGCCAGCCAATTACGAGTTGCTCAGAAATTCATCACTGGCATGTCCAACCACATTTTCCCACATAAAGATTAGTAAAAATATGTGGAAACAGGGCCCATTCCCACCTCAGCACAGCTACAATATGTGTTCAGTGAAACAGATTTCAGCAGAGTTTTGCTTTAGTGAAACAAACGATTTATTTGGGAATCTTTTTTATTCCTGTCTTTACACATTAACACCTTTTTCTGCCAAGTTGCAAAGGCTATCCTATTTAGTTAAAACCCAACTAGGGATTTTTATATTCAAACACACTTCTGAACTCAAAGTACTCGAGTCACATGCCACAAGCCTGAATTCATCCGCAAGTTAGTGAAATCCCCAAAGACCATCTTTAGTCTTCACTGCTGTGATAACGCCCTCCCAAGGCTTACTAAGAAGAAAGCTTTTCTTGCAAGAGAGAAATGAAAGAGGCCAGAGTAGATGAAGATTGGTTCTCTAAGGAGAGGGCAGTGCTGCTCTTAAATAAAGAAGCTCCTTTCAGATAAGCAGAATCAGATTCCAGTTCATTTGGTTTGCTGGCTACCCTTACTTTGAACTCTCATATTTAACCCAGCAGGCTTCAAAGCAGGTGAGAAAATGACCCACCACTTAAAAGCAATTTTTCCTTTTTCAGGAATTCTGGCCTTGGAGAATATCAGCTCTGATATCAGCACATTCCACATCTCCAGGGATTTATGCTTTTTTTTTTTATTATTTTTTTTTATTTTTATTGCTCTATGTCGAATGTCAGGCTTGGTTTTCATCTCCGCCAGGGGGAAAAAAAAAACAAGAAAAAAAGTCCTAACTTGCTGACACTGAAGTCTTATTCCATATAGCTTTATACCATGCAAAAAAAAACAAAAAACAAAAAACAAAAAAAAACAGGCACTAAAGTCACTAACCATTCTAGTTCTTTCCTTTCCATTTATCTCAATCTGATGTACAGTGAGGATTATTAAAAATCATGAATCCCTAGTGCCTTGCTTCACAAAAAAGCAATTTTTGTAACAAATGTATTTTAACAAATTAAAATTAAATTACTCTAGCATGTGAACGAATACAAAAATATATTAGATGAGGAGGGGACCATGATAACAGTGGAAGAAATCTAGGAAATTTTCTTAAATTGCTTTGCCTTACTAAATAGACTGATTTCTAATATATTTGGCCATAAAATATATGACTTAATTCAAAATCCTAACATAGGCAGTTTGCAATTTACCTATAGTTTCTGTTCTGTGAGGCAATTTGCCAGCTCCTAGAATCTGAAACATTTCTCCCCTTGTGGTGGTACAGATACACATAGTGTACCAGCAGTACGGTACTGAGTCGTGTTTAAGGGACACCTGACCACCATTTGCACTACAATTTCTGTGGGAAAACACATCTTGGGTGAACCATTGGGACATGGCTCCTCCCAGTGTGAAGAGGGTAGGATTCCGCATTACAGCTGCACTTTGGTGAGAATGAGGACAATGACAGGTGGCAACGACAGTAACACTCCCCTAGTTTCTCCTATGGACGTACATGGAGACCTGACATATTTTAAGCTCATTTAACCCTCACAAAAACCCATGAGGCAGCACTACTCTCATTTCACGATGAGGGGAGAGATGGTTAAGTAACTTACCTGAAGTTGCACAGACAGTAAGTGTCAGGCTGGAACTCAAAGCAAAGCACTTTGGCTCCAGAGCCTATGCTCATCACCATTCTGCATGCTGTCCCTTTTCTACCTCAGAAAGGTGGCACTATCCAGGCCATCTAGGTTCCTCCTACTGGGGACAGAGGAGAGCAGGGCTTCTCAGGTTTTAAATGTACGTATAGGAGAACTTAGGGGTCTTGTTAAAAGCAGATTCAGGAATGCCTGAGGCTCGCTCTTTTCTTTCTTTCTTTCTTTTCTTTCTTTTCTTTCTTTCTTTCTTTCTTTCTTTCTTTCTTTCTTTCTTTCTTTCTTTCTTTCTTTCCTTCTTTCCTTCTTTCCTTCTTTCCTTCCTTCTTTCCTTCTTTCCTTCTTTCCTTCTTTCCTTCTTTCTTTCTTTCTTTCTTTCTTTCTTTCNTTTCTTTCTTTCTTTCCTTCTTCCTTCCTTCCTTCCTTCCTTCCTTCCTTCCTTCCTTTCTCTTTTTCTTTCTTTCTCTCTTTCTTTCTTTCTTTCTTTCTTTCTTTTAAATTTCTTAAATGTTTTATTTATTTCTGAGAGAGAGGTTCTGCCTTTCTAACAAGCTCCAGGGTGATGGTGACATTCTTACTGCATAGACCACGCTGGGTGATGGTGACGCTGCTATTGCATAGATCAGCTTTATTAAGTGGTGAGGAAGTAGAATGTGAGCCTCCAACTCCCTTGCTGGCTGGTTGGGTGTGAGGCATTTATACGTTGTGTTTGTAAGCTGGGGATGGCCCTTATGTAATAACTTTCCATAAAGTCTTCAATGGAACCTGCCTTTGATATTGCAGCGTACCAAATATTGGTTTGCGGGTACTTTCAGTAAATAGTTAGCTTTTAGGAACTTAAAATGTACATGTAAAGGCCACAGTATAAAATGTGGCTATCAAAGTTTGCTGTGAGGCACATTTCTAACTATATACCACCAACCATACAAATATCAAAAGATAGTAAATAAATGCCTATTTATTGTTCATTAACTAGAATCACAGTAAATTAATAACCTTTGGTCTAAAAAAAGCTTCTACTTTAAAATATATAATTATTATTTCTCAGACTCTTCTAGCGGAGTGCTAAGGAGCCTGTGCTAGGTCTTCTTAAAGGCTCTTCAGGTGCATCAGTGATGTCTCAGGTAAGGACAGACACTATATACTAACAAGAATGGACAGAGCAGATAGTGAGTACACTGCACATTAATTTCAGCTGGAAGTATACTACTAACAATTGCTACATATAGATTTCAGATTCTAGATCTTGCTCCCCCCTCAATTTTATCTGTTTCCCACTGCCCTGAGAGAAACTCAAGGACCATCTCTTCCACCGCTCGCCTGTGATCTCAAATAAACAGCTGCATATATTTTTCCAGTTGTGAAATGGGCAGGATTCCTTTTCTAGTCAACTTTTTCCCTGCTGGATTGCACAGTAAGGTCATTTCAGTTTGAGATGCACTCACTCCCCGGGCAGCACCACTGCAAATAACAGTTATGGTATGATCACTATACTTCCCTTTTACACTAAAAGGAAATAGTCAGTTTCCAACCCAAATATCTATACTCCCTGAACAACAGTGGGAAGTCATTTCCCTTGAAGACTGACCCAGAATCAAGTGTAGTCTCAGACTCTTAGGCCTACAGCCAGTGGCAACTTAACACATTATACAGTTGACCTTCAGGGAAAAAGGGAAACCAGTGCTTTTACTACTGGGGCCAAAAGAAAACCAACTGACCTTTAAGGTACAAAATAAACTGTTCTTAAGGCAGAAAAAAAAAACAGGGAGTCAAAATGGAGGCATATAGAGAAAAATATAGAAATTACATTACCGAGTAAGGGTCAGTGTTTCTATAGTTCTCAGTGCTTTTCGATCTGGGACTAGAATGAATTAGCATTTTCCTTTTGGGTTTGAACTATTATTACCTGGTGAAAATGCGAAGATGTACAAGAAAGACACATTTTTTTAAAGGCTCGTAAAGGAGACTTAAAGGGACTTATCTTTGGTAATTTTACTTTAAGCCAGTGATATTACTAAGTTTATGTAGAAGAGTAAATAATCGTGGGATACTCTCTCTAAAATCAAGTAGGACCTGGGTCAGGAAATGGAGTTCAAAATTGAAGGACAAAAATGAAAATAAAGGTCTATACAGGGTTTTACACCCAAGACTGGGAAAGGTCAATAAGAACATGTAGATACAACAGGGAGAAGCTTTGAGTAAAGAAGGATATTCTGCACTTAGGGCAGAATGTTACATCCATCCGATCTTACCTATTCTCCATCAGCAAACCTTACAACTAATGATTTCATTTAAATTGAAAAATCAAATTTTGTTTACAAAATAGGGAATTTTTTTAAATGCCAAAAAGAAAGCATTTAAGAGTCGGATTATCCCTTAGCTAGTACAAGTGCTGTGTTTACCACCAAAAGTGACCTACAAAGACCAATTTTATAATGTTACGCTGTTGTAGTCTTCAAATTTTTAAGCAACAAAAATGTAGCTCAAGTCACCAGAAACTTATGTTTGACATATTTATGGCAGCAACTTTACAAATCAATTCCTGTAATTTACTGTAACAAACGTCTTCCACTGATCAACTGGCTTAGCACAAACAGATCAGAGATGGTTTCTTGTGTTTTACAAATACTCTACACAAGTCCTTGAGATCATACTTACAGCTTTAGCAAAAATACCCATGATTTCAGGAAACTGGTGTGTGAGGAGAGCTATCATTGCTGTAGAAGAACACAGTCCTGCTGTGAAATGGATGAAAAAAGGAAGCTCCTTCTTTGGGTAAACAGAAACATGATGAAAGGCTGCAAGGGAGAAAAGGTTGAAATGGATTTTATTTAAGAATACAGTATAAGCCAGTTTTAATATTTTCAAGCAAAGTTTATTTTTTAAACTAAAATGGAAAATATATTCTTTTTAAAAGAACAAGGTATCTCTCACTAAGCAAGGTAGAAGAGAATCATCCGTTATTTCCAGCACCAACAGCCTATCTACAGAGCTGGATGACTGTGCTGGGGGCTAAGAATAGGATGGCATCGTGGGAAAGACATTAATTGTAAAGTCATGCTGAGGTGGTTTTGAAAAAAAGCTTTGTCACTTATTGGCTGTGTGATCTTGAATAAGGTGCTAAACCCTCTCATAGTTGCTATGGAGTTGTTATGATGAACACTGTAAGTCCTTACTAAATGTGAGTCGTTCTAATTCTTGCTCTTTAGGAGCTCAGAGATAAGTACAGAATCGACAGACAGATGTGTGGTTGCAGATTTTTTCCCAGAACCACAATTTTACCCAGTTATTAATAAATGTTCTATCTGCAGCATTTCATAGATAGAGCACTATAAGAAATGAATTAGAACATGAAAGCCCTAGGATTCTGATCATAAACAAAGTGCTGTGTCTTCTTTTACCACATTCACACATTAAGTCAGGTATTATTTTTTGAAAGACTGAACATTTCACTACTTAATAGTATTCAAGTATTTATATCTTACTTGAAACTTGATTGAAAATACCTGAATACCAATGCTGAGAGGAGCCTACTTGGCACATAGTAGGTGCTCAATAAATGTCTGTTCAACTGAGAGCTATTCTGGGACTTCATTAGTCCAGGAAGTTGACTGCTCAGGGCTGGACACAAACCCAGGAATTCCTGATGTAATATCCTACATAAGTAAGGGATGACTAATTCAGTGCTGAATCAAGGTCAGCTATAAATTTCACTTTTTTAAACATAATGATTCACAGAGAAGATTACACCTAAGTTTCCTTTGGTAGCCATATTTTCTATGTCTTATACTATACTCTGAAAGAATATGCCAAAAACCAAACTCATTAAAAATCCAGAAAATTTCCAGAGGCTTGAATCACTTTTAAAGTAAAAGCACACCAAATCTGAACTTTTTAAAAACATCAGATAAGTTAGAAGCTGTGGACAACAGTGAACTTTTGGCACCCAAAAAGCCAACAGTCCCTTTTGCCCTGTCCCTCAGCCATGAGAAGACAACTTCAGCAAAAACCAAGAGAAGCAAACCATCATACTTGCAAAGACAGGGAACACTTAAATATACCAATGGTCCCTAATACTCTTATTACGTGACAGGTGGCAACATTAATAAAATTAATTAAACTGTATAGCATTGTATGGCGCACAAATGGTTTAATTTACATTGGTTTGATTTTTTTCCCAATAGCTGTAAGAGAGAGATATCATTTCCACTTTATAAGATAGAAAACTACGTAGCTTTAGTAAGATAATTTCCTAAAATATGAGATTTTATACTACAGGAGAGACTTAATTTTTTCTCTTTGGATTGCTTTCCATGGACTCGTTTGTCAGTCAATGTTTGGCTAATACATCAATATAATGGATGACCAGTACAGAAACACTCCCTTGGAAGTAAAGTTCAAATTTCATCACTGGCTTGTAGAGAAAAATTTATCAGGAGGCATAAAAGACAACAGCTATGTGAACTAAGGGAATAGTTCAAGTCTGAACTTATGAGGTTCATAAGCAAATTCCAGAATGTTGTAAGTCATATCAAGGTTGAAGGAGAATTGAAAACAAAAAAACATTAAGTACTCCTGGGTATTAGAACTCAACGTTATTAAAAATTTGTTCATTCTACCACAGTCAGAGACAGACAAATACTCTCAGAACAAACAATATAATCAAACAAAGAACCCAGCATATCCCTCTTCTCCTACCTCTTGGAATTTGCAAATGTCTAAGCATCCTAGAAGTAATAAAGCCCTGCCAAAAAGCAAACTCTCTGTTCTTATAACCTGTGACTCTGGCAATACATGTTAAAAACCCTGATGTTATTCATATTACTATGCAAAATTGGCAGTCTATCAAGCAACCTTTGTAATCATTTGGGGGGCATTATTTTAGGCTAAATGTATTAATCTAATATAATACACTCTTGCATATTGATGTTTCATAATTAAAGATTTATTCCTTTGCCTTAAATATCCTTATTTCTGTTAAAATGGAAAAACAACAAGAACAACTACTACCAGCATCATCCCATGAAAGAAAATAAAATTTCTCTCACTAGTGACCTTCTAATTGCTGAAGTCAATGGATTCTGAGCAGTAATCACCTTCCTTCCTTGATATCAGATACGCCTCCTCACTTGGAATTTTTTCCCTCCTTTAGTTCCTAGCCCATCTAGTTCTGGTTCTTGTCCTGTCTCTGACCACTCCTTCACTGAATCTTCCAGACTCCTTATCAGCCACCCATTCCTTCAACATTTTTGTGACCCCATGGTTCCGCCCTTAGTTTACTTCTTACTCCACACAGTTTCCCTTGGTGATCTCATTCATACCTAGGAAATGATGACTCCCAAATTGGTTTGGTGATGTAGAGAGATGTCGAGAGAAAGAGATATTAGAACCCCTGGCAATTCTGTTTACACAACCTGACCCTGTCCCTAGGCCACGGCTAACTGAACCGGGACTGAACACCTAGATGAATCTGATTCTCTCTCCCAGAAATTTTACAAGCAGGCTTGAGTTATTATTCATACTACACAATTTGCCTGAACTAATCACATGTAAAGTGATGTAGCAGCATCAAGTGTGACTACATGAGTGTCTAGGAAGAGAAAGCCAAACTACACAGAGAAAGATATAAAAATGAAGCAGACACACTGAGAGAAGCAGAAATGAGAGCTCATACAAAAGGGAGATGGCATTGGGGAAGGAAAAGTGAGAATAGGAGAGCCTGAAAAAGGCAGCCTGAGATAAAGATATACAGATAACTGACTCCTGGAAACCTTTATAACCTCCTAGTTTCTGGTTCTAGTCCCTTCTGAGGTCCAACTGTAATTGCTGCCTTGAGACTCTTTGAAATAATCCAGTCTTCTAACAAATTCCCTTTAAGTTTAAAGTAGTTCTCTATTACTTATACCTAAAGAATACCTACACTTACTATTTCTATAATCCACATATATTTAATATACATATATTTCTTATAAACATATCTTAGAATCATATATTATTTAGAAATATAAAGAATATGTATATGTGTGTGTGTGTGTGAAACAGATTATGTAATAAGATATTTAAGCATGCACATACACACATATGCGCGCACACATGTGTGGACATGGGTGAAATGTTACATGCAACATATTCAAAGCCTGAATTTATTTACTTCCCCTACTCCTGTTCCCAAACTTACTCCTTGTGCTGTATATGCTGGATTTACCATTCTTCAAGTCATTCAAGTCAGATTTAGGAATCATCCCTGACCTTAGAGAGACAGCACTCCCCATTCCAGCTTCCTTATAATCTATTCCATACACACAGCACTTAACACATTGTTTATCAGTCTTTGTATTAACTCGTGAGCAGTTGAGGAGTTTGGAGTCGGATACGGAGGAAAAGATGCTAATGTTTAATATTTTGTTGAGTACTTACAATGTACTTGGCATGTTTATAAGAATGCATTAATAAATTTGACTAATTAAAATCTTTACTGAATACCAATTTTCACGGGGAACACTACAGAGATGCCTAGAGGGATGATAAAGAGGACCCTGGCCTTTGAGTTTACAATCTAGAAGGGGGAAGTTAAGAAGTTCACAAAATACTTTGAGAGTTCAAAGAAAAGACAGATAACTTATCTCAGAGGGTGGAAGAAAATAAAAGGATCTGGGAGAAAAATATCAACATACTCAACTTCCATAATCTCTCCTAAACTTTCATCTATCTGACTGAACTTTTCAGTTCACTAAATTTGGTGTTTGTAAAACTGCAACTTTCCTCGTCAGACTTGAGTTCTAATGACCCCAGAACTGTAAAAACCATGGCACAGGTTTATACTACATAAGGAAGCATGGTGCTAGCGTTTATAACCTTCTGCATGCTTATTTATTGGTTAAATCATAAAAAGAAAAAAACAGAAATTTACCAGTTCACAGAAAGAAATAGTGCAACTTGGACAAATAAATATAGACCATTCTTCTGAGAAGTTTGGCTTCCTAAAAGCAGGGACTCGATGGGACTTTCAGCAATCATAACCCTACGTATTTCTGGTTCTCCTCCTAAGTTTATGACTCCTCTTAAAACTACAAACTGTTGTCTCTCCAATTTCATTCTTTGTAAAGATTGTTTTGACTATTCTGAGTCTTTTACCTTTCCATATAAATTTTGGAATCAATTTTTGCAAAATCCCTCCTGGGATTTTGATAGGGATTGTATTAAATCCATAGATCAGTTTGGAGAGAATTGCCATATAAATAATATCGAGCCTTCCAATCAATAAGCATGGAACGTCTCTCCATTTACTTAGATTTGTCTTTAATTCCTCCCAGCAAATTATGTATTTTTTTAAGTATGTAAGCCTTGCACTTCTTTTGTCAAATTATTCCTAAATTGTGTCTTCTTTTTGATGCCACTATGATTAGAAATGTTTTTCAAATTTCATTTTTGGATTGATTCTTCACTGCCAGTATATAAATATGCAACTGAGTTTTATATGCTGATATTAATTCCTGCAACTTTGTTGAACTTGTTTATTAGTTCTAATAGTATTTTTATGAATTTCTTAGGATTTCCTACATAGAAGATGATGTCATCTATGAATAGAGATTGTTTTTCTTCATCCTTTCCAATAGGAATGTTTTTTATTTATTTATTTTTTGCTTGATTGCACTGAGTAGGCCCGCAGTACAATGCTGAAGAGAAGTGGGAGGGGCAGACATCCTTGCCTGATTCCTGACTTAGGGAGAAAGCATTCAGTCTTTCACCTTTTAAGTATGATGTCAGCTGTGGGGTTTTCGTAGATGCTCTTTATCAGGTTAAGGAAATTCTCTTTTATTCCTAGTTTGTCCAAATTTTTAATCACGAATGGGTGTTAGGTTTTTGTCAGACCCCTTCTTTGCATCTGTTGTCATTTGTTCTAATAACATGGTGCTTTGCCTTTCAGATGTTAAACCACTTGCATTTGTGAGGTAAATCCCACTTGGTCATGTGTGCCTGGATTGAGTTTGCTAATATTTTGTTGAATGTGTTTGTGTCTGTATTCATGAGATATTGTTCATGGGATATTGTTCTATGATTTTCTTGTAATGTCATTGGTTTTGGTATCAGGGTCATACTGGTCTTGCAGAATAAGCTGGGAAATGTTCCTTCCTCTTTTATTTTCTGAAAAGAGTTTGTGAAGGAATGGTATTATTTCTTCTTTAAATGTTTATAAGTTGACTGTTCTTTAAAATATCTTTAATTTTTGTGTTCTTTATCACATCTTACACAGTGTTTTACCCCAAAAATATATGGGAATGAACTGAATTTTGCAACTACATCCAAGAAATGGCTAAAATAGTAGTACTTTAAACAGTATCGTGAATTTCAACCAAAGGCATTTTTATTATGAGAAAATACTATGAAAAACAATCTCACAACTACTGTTAAGTTTAGGAAAACTAGAATATTTACTTACTAGGTAATAGCTCTCTATCAGCAGTCTCTGTGCAGCTGGGATATGGGTAAAATAGATGGCCTTTCTCTAAAGGGTATGGAATCATTCTAAAAGCTGAGGAAAAAAAATACATAGTTTGACATTCAATTCAGACTCACTTTCATCCCATACTACAGATCAAAGCTACCGTGGAGACATATTTCTACAAAATTTTCATATAGCATGTATTAATTTCTTTAGAGATATCTTTTAGATGAAAGAAACAAGGGAAGCAAAAGAAGGAATAAGGGGAAGGATAAGATTTATTCAGAGAATAGTGAATGGTCTGGAATAAAACTAAAGGGAGTAGTGGATAATAAGGCTGGCTGGGTCCTTCCTGACTCTGTCTCCTCACTACAAACAAAACAGACTTAACTCTGTGGATATGAATTCCTTTTCTTCCAGGAATCTTCATAAAATTGCAGCATGTATCACTGTTGTTACCAAGACTGTTGGCAACCCAGAAAGAGTTCCCAATGGCTCCTAACTTCATGTGTTAGATGTCATCAAAGTTTTCTACAAGCAGAATGTAATTTAGATCAGAGGTCACCAAAGTATGGCCCTTTGGCCAGACCTGGACCACTATTTATGTTTGTAAATAAAATATTATTAGAATACAGATGGTTAAACCTGTTTGTTCATTTATATATTATGTTAGGCTGCTTTCATGCTACAAGAGCTGGGTAGCTATAACAGAGACTATGGCTCACCAAGACTAAATATTTACCATATGGCTCTTTACAGAAAAAGTTTACCTATTCCTGATCTAGATTATCACCAACTCTTGAAGACTTCTTAAAGGAGGAATCTTTATTTACCTATTTACCTATTTAACTACTTAACTATTCATCAAAATTGTGATTAAGTTTTTGTTTTAGTGCTTTTGTTTTAGTGCTTTAGGGCTTAGCTCTATAAACTTTTGTCAAGGGGTGAATAGGTGGCTCAGTTGGTTAAGTGTCCTGCTCTTGTTTTCAGCTCAAGTCACGATCTCTCAGTTCATGGGATCAAACCCAGCATCAGGCTCTGTGCTGAAAACACGGAGCCTGCTTGGCATTCTCTCTCTCCCTGTCTCTCTGCCTCTCTTCTGCTCACGTTCTGTCTCTCTCTCTGTTTTACCAAATATAAATTTTGTTCTGCCACAATAAAAAGTAGGGATTTGTCCAAAGTCACAGAGCGAATCAATGGAAACACTAGAAAAATCATTCATAAAGATTATTTATGAAATTCAGTGTAAGTCACATACTTATTGAAAACCTCTTATGTGCCAGGCAGAACATTAGGTACTGAAGACACATACAAAATCAATGAGTACCAGCCTTTGAGCTTATAGACTACTAAAGAAAAAGCAAAAGGCAGCCTAATTACAAAAAGACATTCTGTTTTATTAGTCCCAATTTCATTAATCTGCATATTGTCAGGGATAAGCACAGTGTCTGACTCTTAGCAAGAGTCTCTTCTCTTTGCTTCAAGGATACATGGTGCCCTTCGTGTCTCAGTAATTTTTTATGATGCCCCTAGGCTGAAAGAAATACCTAACAATTCCACTTAAGTAGCGGATCCAAACAACTCTAAGGTTTATGTCCTAACACTTAGCAGTGATTAAAACACAAATACACACACACACACACACACACACACACACACACACCATTTAAATTAAAGGGAAAAAAATAATTATTTCATTTTTTAAAATATTTTAAGTTTTTAAAGTAATCTCTACACCCATGTGGGGCTTAAGCCCACAACTCCAAGATCAAGAGTCACATGCTCCACTGACTGAGCCAGCCAGGTGCCCCCAATTATTTCATTTTTAAAGAACCATCTTTTCTTACTAGTGGGATGTATGTACCTGTTGGGTACTGCATACCTTTTCAGACCTTGGAATCAGGTTGGACACCGCCATCACCATTTCCTGTTCCACACTGATTTTTTTTGTGTGGTACTTTTTTAAATCACAGCAACTAATAAAAAACCCAGCTTTGCAAAGCTACGACAACATCAAAAGAAAGAGAATGGAGAGCCACCTAATGATGAAACCTTGAACTATGTGGCGCTAACAGTTTGAATGTCTTGACACATTTTGAGTGTTACTGTTGTTTCCACTGAAATTTTAAAATATGCCATGGCACTCTTGTGAATTTGCCGCAATGCCCTAAGGTGCCTCAGTGCGAAGTTTGGGAACTAAGGGGGATCAACCAAGTCTAGTTAATGAGTATTGAATTTATGTTTGAACTTTTATCGATAGGAGAAGTGCACTTTCCAAGACAATCATTATAAGAATTCAACTGATAAAATACTTTGATTAAGCTTTTTCATTTTCTAAGTGATTTTAAGAAGTTACAAACAAGAAATCTGGTAGTTAGTTGAAAAACAACCTAGGTGTCCAAAGAAGATATACAAATGGCCAATTAGCACATTAAAAAATGTTCAACAACACTAATTATTAGGAAAATACAAATCAAAACCACAATGATATACCACTTCACACCCATCAGGATAGCTAGTATATATAAAAAAAAAAAGAACAAGTGTTGGCAAGGACACAGAGAAAGTGAAAACCTTGTGCATTGCTGGTGGAATGTAAATGGATGTATTTGCCACAGAAAGTAGTATGACAGTTCCTCAAAACAATGAACATAGAATTATATAACCTACCAGTTCCATTTCTAGGTATACACCCAAAAGAACTGAAAGTAGGAACTTGAACAGATATTTGTACCCCCATGTTCATAGGAGGATTATTCTTAATAGCCAAAAGGTGGAAACAACCCAAATGTCCACTGACAGATGAATATATAAACAAAGTATGGTGTATATATACAATGGAAGATTATTCAGCCCTGAAAAGGAATGATTTTTTAACATATGCTACAACATTATGCTAAGTGAAGTAAGCCTGATTTAAAGATATAAATATTGTTATGATTTTATTACAGAAGATACCTAACGCTAGTCAAACTTATAGAGACAGAATCATTACCAAGATCTGGAGAGGAAGGAAGAATGGGGAATCATTATCTGATGGGTACAGGATTTCAGTCTGGGATGATGAAAAAGTTCTGGGGACAGCAGATGGTAATAGCTGTACGATAATGTGAATGTATATAACATCACCGAACTATACATTTTAAAATGGCTAGAATGGAAGTGCTTGGCTGGCTCAGTGGGTAGAATTGATCTCGGGGTTGTGCATTCGAGTCCCACGCTGGGTGTAGAGACAACTTAAAAATAAAATCTTGGTGCATCTGAGCGGCTCAGTAAGTTAAGCATCCGACTCTTGAATTTGGTTCAGGTCATGATCTCACAGTTTGTGGATTCAAGCCCCATGTCAGACCCTACGCTGACAGTGAGGAGCCTGCTTGGAATTCTCTCTCCCGCCCTTTCTGTCCCTATCCCACTCATGCTCTCTCTCTCAACATAAATAAATAAACTTAATAAAATAAAATAAAATCTTAAAACAATTTTTTAAATTAAAAAAAAAATAGTTAAAATGGTAACTTCTATGTTATATGTATTTTACCACAATAAAAATAGATTGAAAAAAAAGAATAGATTTGATATTAGTTGTGAGGAAAATAGTTTCATGATGTATACACCTGAAAATAAAGCAAAAAATCTAACTTAAAAATATTAGAACAATAACTCAACCACATAAAGAGCTTATGAAGCAAGGGATGTAAGTTTTCATTTTCTTTCCTTACAAATATGTAATTTAAATGAACATATGGCAGAACATCATAACGGTTTCTCATTCTGCTTTTCCTAATTGTGACATCAATATTAAGTACATTAAGCATTTCTCCTACCAATAAACCAAATAAACACCTCTGAGTTCACTTTGAAACCAATCCGAACAACAAATCCTTAGGGACACTCAGATAATCTCATTTTAAAAAGCTGCCTGTGAATGCAATGAATAATCTGAGAGATAGTTGGACATTTGAAAAAGAATACTCACTGCCTTCCCACGTGCACTGTAACAGATTAAGTGCACCTTCAATCCTCTTCCAGTGCTGAAGATGGAAGAAAGCATAGGCGATTGCTTCACTGTCACCCCGTTTCAGAATGTGTTCTGGAGGTAAAATTAGACTTTTCATCTCTAGTAAATACTAGAAAAGTAACATACACACACAGACACACCACAGAAAAGAAAAAAATTAAATTATGTTACATTCAAACAAAAAAATGTAGATTCAAATTTTATAAAGTCAATTTGATTTAAAAAACACACATTAAGCTAGCTGAGATGACAAGAGGATCATACTGATAGTGTGTGTATAAAATGCTTATATACGCAAATTCCAAAGATCAGAATATTCCTACAGGCAGAAATAAAGGGATAAATGGCTTATGTATGACCTTGCTAAATGCAAAATGGAAACTCAAGCTAAGCAAATGATGTGAAAGCAAATATCTATTTTTCTGAAAGAGAATTAAGTACAAAAATCATACAATTTTGGAAAAAAACTTTGTGGTGACATTCAATTCTTTTTTCTCTTATTCCCATTTTACAAGTGGGGAATTTAATTGTGAATGTGTTCAATTAAATGAATATTTAATGGGTGCGGGGCGCCTGAGTGGCTTAGTCGGTTAAGCGTCTGACTTTCGCTTAGGTCATGATCTCGCGGTTCGTGGGTTCGAGCCCCGCATCGGGCTCTGTGCTGACAGCCAGCTCAGAGCCTGGAGCCTGTTTCAGTCTGTGACTCCCTCTCTCTCTGACCCTCCCCTGCTCACGCTGTCTTTCTCTCTCTCTCTCCTCGAAATAAATAAAACATTAAAAAAAATGAATATTTACTGGGTGGAAGTACTATATCTGTTAGGAAACACTACATTCTCTGGAGCTTCCTAATGTCATGAGAAAGACAGATTTCTTAGGTTAATAATTACAACAAGACTATGCTTTATTAGAGACATAAACAGTGTATACGGAATTTGGATAGAAGGTATTCATGTTTTCTAATATATATTTTTAATATATTTTTATAATATATTTTCTAATTATATTGAGATATAATTTACAGACCTTATGCTTCACCCATTTAAAATGTACAGTTCAGTGGCTTTTAGGATATTCACAGATATATATATATAACCATTACCACAATTTTAGAACATTTTCATCACCTTGAAAAGAATCCGCATCCTCTTATTCCCCTCTAACCCCCATCCCCCCAAGGCCTAAGCAACCACTAATCTAATTTGCATCTCTATACATTCGCCTGTTCTGGTTATTTCACACAAAAAGAATTGCATAATATATGGTCTATTGTAATTGGTTTCTTTCACTTAGCATAATGTCTTCATGGTACACCCATGTTGTATCATATATCGGCACCTCATTCCTTTTTCGCAGTTGAATAATATTCCATGATTTGGATATACCACATCTGTTTATCCATTCATTATTTGATAGACATTTGATTGTTTTCACCTTTTGGCTATTATGAATAATGCTGTGATAAACATTCACATACTAGGTTTTATGTGAACATAAGTTTTCATCTCTCTTGGGTATTCACCTAGCAGTGGAAGTGCTGGATTATATGCTAACTCTATGTTTAGGAGGTATTGATTATGATTTAGGAGTTGAAAATAAACCCCTTGATCGAATTCAGGATTTGAGCTTATAGATAAAGATGGGTAAAATGTGGATGAACAGATTGGGCGGTGGGGTGGGATAAAACAGGGGTTGGAGTACAGGCCAGCTTCAACAAGGCTAAGAAAGTACAGCTCAAGATGCATTTAAGGAATTCGTGGATATGCCTGTTAAAGAAATTATAAGCTATCAGTTCTTACTCACACATGAAAATTAAATGCTATCTTAAATTCTTAAAGAAAATACTTGCCTTAATATTGCAATCCACAACAAAAGCAATATAATCAAATGTACTAATTACATGAAGATACAAAATTAACCACCTGTATATCACCTTTACTATTAAAGTGGTCAAGTTAAAACAAAACCTTCAAAAATATTTAGTTAGCTAAATACTTCCTCCAAAGACTAAGACCAGAGTACACTTCCCCTATTAAAATAGTTAGAAACAACCTCTTTGGTTCTATATCATTTGATAGCAAATTATGTGTCATAAATTCTAAACCACATTAACTTCTGTTATGAAAGATAAAAAGAGAAACATTCCTGAGAAGTGTCATAAATGATACATTCTCGCACTTCAAATTCTAGTTCCTCAGGTTGTTATACAAACTAAGGAGATCAACAGCACAAATTAAACAGCTGAATTTGTGAAACACATTGTAAAACTGCTACAAGCAGGGAGAAAGAAAAAGGTGTAGTGACTTCAAAATTTAAGCCTTAGGTTATTAATCAATATATATGTATACATTATATCAATATATCTAAAATAACTTTTTCTTTTTTATTTATGAAATGTGCTTTTCCAACACTCACTGAGCTTAATGCTCATCTTTAATTACTCTTACTTCTATACCTCAATAAAGCCAAAAAAAAAAAAAAATAGCTCCTCTTAATCTTGATGTCTCTGGCTCTTTCCTCAAAGTGTAAGAATGCAGTCTACTCATCAATTTATTTTAGCAGATGTCACAAGCTATGAGATTATTTACTAATCCAGTTTGGGGACTTAACATTTCCCATTCAGTTTCTTAAAGGAATGCAGCAGAGGTTGTGTCCTGGTCAAGCAAAGCCCATTTGCTGCCTGGTTGGGTTCTCTCCCCTTAGTGCCTTGGGCCTATACTCAGGAGGGTAATATTCTTTCTAATCCCCTCTAATCCTTGCCCATTTTTTTAAAACACAGTAAAAGATCACTCGCACCAGGCGGCTGTGGGAAAATGGACTCAAATAGCTGACCTCTGACATGACTCCTTATGTTCTTAGCAAGTGCACTAAGAGCTTCTTCAGTAGGAAGCAAAGAAAATGCAGCAATCACAGTGGAATCTCCATCATAAAAAGAGTATCTCATTTTCAGAAGAAAACTGTTTTAATAAATAAACCAAGCCCTTTCTATCTATTAAAACTCTGCTTCATTTAGCAAGTAGAGGAGACAAAATATCCCAAATTATTTTCGATGAGTTTTAGAACCCCGAAGCTTTAAAGCTTTAAACGAAACCCTATCTTGGTCATCACTTAGCAAATGGGAAGCAAAAGATACTCAGTTAACAATTTATCCAGTAAAAATCAACTTAATACGTCAAGAAAATACTTTCTTGAACAGCAATTATATATCTATATTTTCACTGCTTAATAATCTAAGTGACAATTCTAATAATAATCAAACACATATGGCACACTTATTAAGAAATGATACTTCGGGGGCTTATATTTTAAAATCTTTGCTATTCAATCATGAAAAAAAATCTCTCTTATGTCATTTGATTTTTCATTATCATGTCTTACCTACCACCAAATGTCCTGTCCAATTTGACTTTAAGACAAAGCAATTTTTATTTTTCCATTTCTAATAAAACACTGAAATAAGACTGCACCCTCAAAATATATGGGAAAATTTTCAGTTTAAGGAGAATAGATAATTAAAGGATTATTACTTATTTTATTTCCTTCACAAACTGCTACTCAGGAATTCCTCCTAGCCAGTAGAAGCTGTAAGTTACTACACAATAGAAATCACATCTTTCATATTCTACTATAGTAGCTAGCACACTACACTAACCAAAGTAGGCATTTAAACACTAACTAACTGACTTGATCTGATATAGATAGCTAAAATGTCTTCAAACTCATACTTATAGTTCAGTTTTTATTGAAAGATATTGTTTAACTCTCTGGGCAAACAGAAAACAAAAACAAACTTCTGAAAAACAAAACAAAACAAACTTCTACCTAGACTTTACTTTTCCATGAATAAGAATAGAAGAGGTTGAAAACAGAAGAGTGGCTGGTTTGGTTTTGGTCTTTTTTTTCTGCTTCTGAAAGTACATGCTTAGTGTGCAGAAATCCAAACATTGCAGAGTTACACAGGAGAAATAATGTATTAACAGGTTGGAGAATAAAAGAATAAAGAAAAAAAGATAATCCAAGTTATATTTGTCTGGATTTCTTTAAGCATAACATCCTTAAAAATAGGATCAAACTTTTATATAACTCTCTTTTTAACTTCATCTCTTTTAACAGTACATCTTTACATCTCTTCCTTCTCTATATAGACCTAACTCATTATTTTTAATTGTTGTATAATATTCCATTAAAAGCTGAGTTATTTTAAAAGTTAAGAAGTAAGGTCATGCTGAAATTGTACTATCATTCTTAAAAGGACAAAAATAATAACATTAAGTAAAACTTATAAAAATATTAAGTAAAATGGCTTAAAATTTCCAAAAACTGATGGGATCTAAAATTTTACTTTCTTTAACTTAGGTCTTTATAGCAACGTAGGTCTAAAGCACAGACATGTCTACTTACCGAACATTTACTGCATGTCCGTTATGTTCTAAGCAGCATTTCAGACATAAAATGGTAAGTAAAACAAGAGTTCTGCTTTTTAAAAAGCTCACAGGGAACTAAGGAAGAGACATTCAAACAGACCAAAAAACAAACAAAACAAAACCCAAGACATGGTTAAAGCATTGAAGGAACAGAGAAAAGAGAGGCATTATCTCTGCTTGGGAAAAATGATAAAAGACACGTCTATAGAGGAGGCAACAGATGAAGAGGATCCTGAAGAATGAGTAGAAAGCTGTCATGAAGAGAAGAGATTGAGCATACATACAAAGGTAAGGAGACATGACGAGACATGACCAGTCTCAGGAATAACAAGATAAGGAGCAAAGCAGAAGGAGCAAGGAGTAAGGTTGGAGACAGATATCCGGCCCAGACTGGGAAGGGGTTCTATATGTTCACTACTAAGGGCTTGGTCCTTATCTGAGAGATGATAGGAAATAAGAAGAGCTCTTTAAGCAGAGCAAGTTTTGCTGTTTAGGTAGATAACTCTGGCAATCGCCAGAGTGGAGATGGGTTTATGGCAGGGAGACAGTAAGAAGTATGTTTTAATCATCCAAGCAAAAGATGGAAAGTATTTGAAATTATTTCTATATCTTTATCTGTATGTTTAAAAATGCATAGAAAGGGGCCGCCTGGGTAGCTCGGTCAGCTGAGCTCCTGACATGAGCTCAG